CATCATGAGATCATAACAAGTGAACAATCAGGCAAAGCTGCACTCGAAATGGAAATAAGCTTAACAATTATGATGCAAAAGAGTCCCCAAAACTGAACCTTTTTCAGATAATTTTATCAAGTCGTAGGAGTCCCATATCAAAAACTTCCAAATTTCGGAGATTCACTAAAATTGAGTAAAATAAAGTTTGATGCTTTATGCATCACACTACCCCTAGCATTTTAAATCATTCTAAGTAAGGTGCCTTCCTTATAAATTTTAGGCAGACCATACGCTCTTTAGAGGTCTAGTATCTCGCTTTTCCATTTTTTCAGTTCTCCGTTGTTTGCATAATGTTTCATAAAAACACAAAACTTGACATTAAGACCTTCTGTCTAGTCCATAATTACAATTTTAAGTATTGTATCATCGTCGAATGCCTCTAACATTTTTTCTACCTAATTAGTCTTACCCATAACTACTACTGCCCCTTATTTGTCTGCCCTTAATACTAATTGGTCATTTGCATAATGGTTACTTGCAATAGTATTAATCGTTCTATTCTTGTATGGTGCTTCTAGATGGCCATCAATTAAGGGGACATCTTGTTACTAAATGTCACTCATAGTATCCTCTAGATAACTATCTGTTAAACTTATCATTTCTACTAGAATGTCCTCTTTGAAATCCTTTGCTAGGACCTATTTTATAGAAATATCCAGTAAAGTTTTGGACAGATATACAAAATTTTAGAAGTTTAATTTGATTAGGAGACTGGTAGTTTAATTTTTAAACAAGGATATGAGTCGAGCTTGTCCTTCTATTGGATTTCGTATAGATATTAGTTGAACGCATCTTTTCAGAAATCCTCTGAAATAGTAGTTATCATAATTCTCATCATCAGACTGGAGACTTGGTAAGTTTATTATGGTAAAGGAATTCGGACAAGGTGCGTTTAACTAAGTCACCCTGATAACAAGACTAAGTTGCGAAAACGAAGTCAACCCACTTATGTGACTCACATGCCTAGGCATCTTCTTCTCCCTAGGCTTCAGGCCCATTACCCATTTATGTTCTCTCTCATTTAAAGCCCATTCTCCCTTATTCTCTGGGGTCCTGTGCCTGGCTTGATTTAGAACTGCTGGTGTGATAATGGACCGTTTCCCTTATCATCTATTAAATTGCGTAAAGCATATTCCTCTTGTCTCTCAAGTCGATAATGCCACCTAATCCTAATGTTCTAGTTATGCGTGCATGTCTACGTTATTTGGTATTCCCCTAGTCAGACAAATCGCAAATCACCTATCACTACACTCAGACACACGAATACTACACACAAGCATACACACACACACATACATACACTGGGGATAGAATGATATCATGCACTTCAGCTCAGTTTTGGTATCCTAATAAATTTGAAATGGACCAAGATCTTTAACCTAGCACCTCTAATAGTGCCCGATTTGCATGCTTCTGTCCTATAATTTCCCATCTACGACTTACAAGAAGCCCTAGTGTTAACGTGAGACTTTTGCAGGAATAAGATCTAGCTCTGATGATGTCCATCATATAATGAACGAAAACTTGCGCAGTTTTTCCTCGAAACGAGGGAGGAGGTCTCGTGGACTGCGTCAACCTGAGCGTCGTATAAAAGCCAAATGGCTGCAGTACTACGGGATTCATCCGCCTTCATCTGTTGAGATCGACCTATGAATTTCTTCTCATGCAACTTTATTTGAAATAACAATTTTATCCCAGGAGATTAATCGAAACCCAGTTTCTCTTCGTATCTACAAGATTTTCATACTCAATCCACTCTTCAAACTTCTTTAGCGCCTCAATCTCCTCTGTACCTATATTACTTTCCACTCATAATATAATTAATTTTGAATCACATTTTAACTATATAATCTCACGGTCTGCACTGGATACGTCATCCAAATTTATATCTGCAGCTATAAATAACATAACAAATAGTGTCTAACTCCACTATCAAACTACAGAGACGAATAAAGCTTGTAAAAGTAAAGTCTGTATTTTTTAGAATTCTTGTATTATATTTTTCTAATTTTTCACATAGTTAATAATAAATTCTTTTTAGCTACAGTCTTTCAATGATTAACTTATTTTAATTGCTTGCTCGTGCAGATAGCTTCGCCAGCTCTTTTCAATGTCTGATGCTAAGCCTCCCCTTGATGCCGCTGATAGTTTGCCTTCTTCTATTGGGGTCGTTAGGGCGATGTTTGAGGAGTTAAATATTCTAGATGTTTCCGACGAAGTTTGCTGTAGGGTGCTGGATGTTATTTACAGTAAGTTCATCAGAACTAAATCGTATAAGGATATACCTCGGATGTCATTGAAGAGGCTAAGGCTGTCGCTAATCATTCTGGAAGATTGACAATTGAAGAATCGGACATGGAGCTAGCCATAGAAATGAAAAAGAATGATCTGTTGCTAGCCCCATTACATCGGGATTCCCTTTTGGACTTCTCAAAACAGTTAAATTCCATTACTTTACCGCCCGTGCGGCTCCAGCCTGGGATTAAGCTTCCTCCGGATCGCTTTAATCTCGCTGCACCTAATTATGCTCTTCCAACAAGTGTTACTCAAACACCTTTGGTAAATTGTTTTGTGACAATCAAATATAACCGAAAATTGTTTGATTTAAAAAATGTCATTGTTATTGTTGCTTTAGTTGGTTTTCATTTATCTGTACTTAAGACTTTATCTTTTTTATTAAGTAAAAATACATAATTGCTCGCATTCTCCTTATGCCAGAGCTTCATCTATTTATATTTAATCTGCTTGATTGTTCATTTTGGCCTGCGCTATTTAATTGCCACCCTAAAGTATAATATCTCGCCTTTTGAAATCCCCTGTACTTTCCTTTAATACAGTTGGCTTTAACTATTTAGTATACCCTATTTGTTTTGTTTCTTATTATTTCATATCGTGATAATTATCCCTACGCATTTTCATGATCAGCGATCAGACGCTGTATTTATGTCATTTTTACTATCGGCGACTATATCTTGCTTATTTTCGCACTTCTAATTGTTTTCGTAATCCAAATGAAAATAGCTTACATGTCTAATAAAATTATTCACTCATTTTTAATTTATTGATCTGATCTTAACTTACTTATCTTAGTTGCATTCGTTCTAGTTGGTCACCAAATTTTTACTTAGCATTCATTATAGCCTGCTATTTCTGTTTTTTTATTTTTATTGTTATTCGCGCCTTTTGACTTAATATGTTGCTTTGAGTAGGCTGTAATATTCCCTTTGGTGTGTTTCATGTTCTATAGGTTTCATATTTTTCATTGGTATTATCAGATTCAGAAGATAGGTGGACAATCTATATTATAAAATCGTTTTACGATAATCTTATTTTAATGTTACAAATTCGATTTTCGTCGTTATTATTTGGTCAATACATCCGTTTATGCTTTTTT